GGACTCCAGGATCATGACCTGAGCCGAAGGCAGTCGCTTAACCAACTGAGCCACCCAGGCGCCCTCTCACACTTTTCTTAAAGAAGAACCCAGTCTCATTCCTAGTGGGTTCCAGGCCTGTGGGCCTCTGCTGTTTGCATAGTAGTAAGAAGTGGTAACAACCACAATAATAATTTATGGGATAGCTATTCTGACACAGACACATAGTGCTTTGTACAAATTATCTCATCTAATGCTGTAAAAGCCTTTTAAAGAGAAAGAGAGGTCATTTTATCCCAATTTTATACAAAACCCTGAATTTCAGAGACGTGAAGAAAGTTACCCACAATTATGTGTGTGGTGACCAAGGGCAGAGCCAGAATTCAGGCCCAGGCCTGCCTAACTCCGAAGTGAGGAACACCCCTGGTCTTTCCGTTTGCTCCCCAGAATGCATGGCATTGGCATACTGCACAGGCAGGCCCCTCCCGTTCCCCTTAAGCAGAACGTGCCTTTCTGGGGGATGTTTTCTTCCTGCATTCACACTCCACAGTGGAAGGCGGGTGTGGTGGGGTAGAGGGTAAAGAAGCATGTCTGGGAGAGAACTGTGGACTCTTCTCACTGGGCAATTTCCATTTGGAAAGCCAGCTCCGTGTGTCGCCTGCCTCTGACCAGCCACCCAGAGGGAGGCACGATTCGTGGTGGGGGGGGGCGGGGTATGGCTGGACCTTCCTAAGTAGCCACTCACAAGCAATTTCCTTTTTTTTTTTTTTTTCAGACTGCAAGTACACTGTCCATGAACGCTGTGTATCTAAAAACATTCCTGGATGTGTCAAAACGTACTCAAAAACCAAAAAGGGCGGTGAGGTTAGTGATCCCTATTGCCTTGTTCTACTGCATGCTGCATCCCAGGCAACATGTCCATCACCACGGACTCCTGGGCAGGAAGCTTTTTCAAGTCCCTTCCTTGCCACAGGGACCACCCTTAAATCATCCTGTTCATCCATCAATCCATCAGCATCTCCCCGGTGCCCACCGTGTGCCAAGCACTGTGCTAGGGGGTATCCAGGTTATAAGATGGTCCCCAGCTTGTTCCAGAACTGTGTGGTCTTGTGGGGGAGAGACAGACATGTAAGCAAAGTATAAACAACTGAGATGTATGATCACAGTAGGGCTATGTGGGACAGACAGTGGAGACACCAAGGAGGAGGCCTGGGAAGGTTCCCCAGAGGAAGTGGCATCTGAGTTGTGTCTTGAACCCAAATCAGGAGGACTTCACAAGGCATCAAGGAAGACAAGGCACCCTAGGCAGAAGAAGCCTTGAGTGCAAGGCATGGAGACAAGGCATAGTCTAGGATCTGTACTTAGTTTGGTGTGACTGGGACAGAGGATGCTTCAAGGGAAGTGACCGGAGATGTGCCCCAGAAGTGGTAGGTCCAGCCTGGGGAAGTTCTCGAGAGGCCAGCTGAGGAGTCCAAAAGGCGCCTCCCGCACAGCAAAGGGGCCTCTGAAGAGCTGTAAGCACAGGAAGAGACACGAAGAGATGATTGGGTTTGCAAATCAGGTTAACTGCTCTGACCGTGGGGCAGGAGAGAGATGGGGGGCGGGCGAGGGGGACCAGAGCTCCTCCGACAGTTCAGGTGAGAGGCAGTGCCACACTGAGGGCCTGCCTGGGGTGGGGTCTGCACTCCCTGCGCTCAGTACTTGCTGACTATGCAGCAGTCCAGCCGTGGTGGTGTCTGTGCTCAGGGTCCCCCGACCATGCCGGCTGTTGCGTATTTTGATTGTCCCCTGGCTAAGGTAGGGGAGATGAAGAGAGTTTGAGACATAACTTGGAGGTAGCACCACCAGGACTTGGTGATGGGGACGTAGGGGATGGGAGTGAGGAAGAGGTCAGGAATGGCTCCCTGGTTTTGAACTTGGCCATTGGGTGGTGCCATTCACAGAGTCTGGAAATAGACTCTCCTTAAAATGAGCAGGGGAAGGGCACTCTGAGTCCATTCATCCTGAGTCGGGATGATTAGCGGCAGGAAGTGGCATCCAGCCTTGCACAGAAAGACTCGAGAGAGAGAAGGGAGCCTCCAGGACACGCATGCGTGCCTCATGAGACGCCACATGGTCTCTTGTCCACTCCTGCACCACGCCCATACACACCCTTTTTCATGTCCATACCTTTCACCAGGACACACCACGTACCTCCTGGGCTCAGGCCCTGAGCCTACACTCTGGCCACTTGCACACATGCCACAGAGGGAGGCCGCTGATGGGCCAGCAGGGCACATTCTCAATCTTCTTAGTCTCCAGGGGCAACCCAGGTCCTTCACCATCTCTTCTGATCCCAGAAGAGGATGGGGAAGGCAATGTGGTGGTGAGACACAGCCGTGGACTTGGAGTCAGAAGACCTGGCCGTGAGTCCCTACTAGGCCACTTACCAGCCTTGGAACCTAGGGCCGGTCACTTAACCTCTCTGATGCGTCATGTTTTTACTCTGCAAAATGAAGATAACCAGAATCTCAGAGCAAATTCAGTGCGACCATACAGGTGACAAATTGATCAGCAAACAGGATATTTTATACCTGGGGGGATGTGCAGGAGAAGGTGAGAAGCTACAAAATAAACATGACTCATCTTCTAGAGCAACAATTTTACCAAAAACCTTTAGGGAGGAGGACATAGTAACTTAATTGATAAGTAATTTTACAGCTTTTATTTAATACACACAAGGATGGTATGGTGCAAATATTCCATGTGTTTTTAATATTGTGTTTGTAGTTGGCCCTTCAGGCTGTGCTATATCTGTAGAGGCCATGTCCTCTCTGTTCTGCTGTTGGCAGTGGCCCTGGCAGAAAATTTTGAGAAGCTCTGTAGAAATCCTAGACGGAGCTACCTGAGGGCTTAGACTCCCGGAAGTTGGTGTCACGGGGCACTTTGGCTTCACTTACATACATACACGTACACGGACTTTCCCACCTGCTTCCTAAGTTCCCGAGTTGCACTGCTGGCATTTCCTGGTCAGGGAGCAGGTACAACCAGCTCTCGAGGAAACAGATACGCAAGCCGCTGACTGCTGAACCACACTAACGTCTTTGTACTCTTTCCTTTAACTTCCTTCTAGAGTGTTTCTCAACCTTAGCTGCACATTATAATCATGCAGAGTGCTTTAAAATAAACTAATGACGAGTCCTGTCTCCAGAGACTCTGATTTATCTGGTCTGGAGTGAGGGCTGTGCATTAGGACTTCTAGAAACTCCCAGGTGGTTCTTACGGGCTGAGAGCCACTGGCCTATAGAAGACGGGAGGGCGAAGGGAGTTATCCCTCAGCGGGCACCTCCAAAGGGCCAGAACTGTGCCAGAGAGCCTCTTCCATGTGCGCTCTCTTTAAATCATCCCAGAAAACCCAGAGGTGGGGCTTATCATGCCAATTTCTACAGATGAGGGACCTGAGACTCAGAGAGGTCCAGGAACTGGCCCCAGGTCACCCGCCTGCGAAGTGGAAGGTCAGTGACCCCAACCAGCTCTGTCGGCGCCCCAAGCCCTCTAGTGCTTGCCTGCATCGCGCTGCCTTCCAGAAGAGGGCGCACACAAGCACACCACTCTGCAAAGGAGTTCTGCAAGACAGATGGACTGCCAGACAAGAGGCTGCTCAGAGGCTTGCCTGCCAGGGCGAATGAGCCATTCAAAGTGCAGGCCAGGTGGTTTTTCGTCGACTTTGATTAGCACGGCCATGGTCAGGCAGGGAGGCACGGAGTCCGTGCAGTTCAGCCAAGCAGCCCCGTGCCCACTAAGTAAAACCCGCTGAGCGGAGTGCAACCCCTCTGCCCTCCCCAGCCCCGCGCTCCTCTCAGGCCCCGGGCCCCGGGATGTGGCTCTGCAGCCTCCCCTGCTATCCTTCCCTTCCCTCCTGCAGGTGATGCAGCACGCGTGGGTGGAAGGGAACTCTTCCGTCAAGTGTGACCGGTGCCACAAAAGTATCAAGTGCTACCAGAGTGTCACGGCGCGGCACTGCGTCTGGTGCCGGATGACGGTGGGTCGGCGTGCAGGGTGGCCCTGCTTCTTGCCGGTGTGTTCTTGCTCAAGTTGCGGCCAGGGAGCAGCGGACGTCCTGCCAGAGGGCATGAGCAGAGCTGGGGCGGCAAGACCGGGAGGCCCAGAGCCCCCGTTCCAGGCTCTAAGTCCAACAGTGCCGCCAGCGCCTCTCCAGGCTGCCTGGGGAGAGGGCGACCCCAGAACCAGGGGAGCGAGAGCTGCTGAAGGAGAAGCGGGCCGGTCCACTCGCTGCCTGTGTGGCCAGGCAGCCGTGAGCAGCACCCGACCGTTAACTCACCTGGTTGTCATCTGGAGCCGGGGGCGCAGAGTAGGCACACAATGAGGCACGAGAGCCCCTGCTCCTCAGGGCGTCGCGGGAGGCACACCCCTTAGAGCAGCCTCACTCCACGTCCCCTCCGGACACCTGACGCTGCCCATGCTGCCTGCCAGAGCCAGCTCTGTGTCCTTGTCTTGTCCCCCTGACCAGGTATTAGCCTCAAAAAGGATGTGTCTCCACATGAGACTGCAGATCTCTCAAAATGCACTGGTTGAGTCTTGGGTTTCACTTCCAGCCTCTTGCAAGTTCGTTCAACAAGATCTCTTTCCTTACAGAGGCTCAGAGCCTAGGGAGCAAATGTCCAAGGGGGTTTCTGGAATCCACATGGCAGTGCCACGCTGAAGGGTCCCAGGCCTGCCCATGACCATTCCACTCCAGCAGTCGTGGATGGCACTCGGTCTCCTTTCTCTGCCTGCAGCCAACGTGGCACCCCTGACCACACCACACGACACACGCACACTCATGCAGCTCTCCTACCAAAGCCAGCAGTGCATAAGGATTTGGGGGAGCATTGCATAGCTGTCTCCCCAGCAAACCTCTGAACCCTCATACCTGGCATTGCCTCGGTCGGTTTCACTCACTCTCTTCTTCATTCTTCCCTCCAGTTTCACCGAAAATGTGAATTGTCAACATTGTGTGATGGTGGGGAACTCAGAGACCATATTTTGCTGCCCACTTCAATATGCCCTGTGACCCGGGTAAGTGGTGTTGCCCCGCCAGGCTCTGGGCTCTCTGGGTTCATGGCTCAGATGCAGGCAGCATTCAGACAGTCACATCCCTCCGAGGGTTTCCGCACAACTCCTAAGGAGAAACCATTTGTGTTTTCGCTACACGTTTGAAAGGGCAGTGCGGCACTCATCAGATTGTGACAGAAAACTCCTCTCACTGGGGCTCACTGCTGGCCTTCTAGAATGCTCCACGCGGCCCATCAAGGAAAGCACATACATTCTAAGCACCTTGCCAGCAGAGCACAGCTGCGGGAATTTCTGTCATCACCTGCATGTGGCTAGGCCTCCCAGGCCTCCCTTGTCCCTGTGAGCCTGTCTCTGTTGTCTAAACATGAACTTCTCCCTCCCTTGAGGACTCCCACTTAGGTGTCCCAACCCTGTTTGGAGATGTAAACAGGACAATTAAAGTCCCTCTATCTCCATCTGAAACTTTCTGTCTCTTGTGTTGGAGATTCCTCTTTTTGACCAAATACCAAACAACTTAATCGTCCCCTTCTGTCTTCAAGATGTTGCCAAGTCCCGTTGATCCCTCCTATCTCACACTTGACTTGACCAGCTACTCTGTTTCATGAAAAAACTGAAGGAAAAACACCACTTTGGTACCTACTGGGTTCGAAATACACTAACTCTGTGACCCAACACGTCCTCCTTTGTATCTGCCTGAGAAATATGAGCACTTATTTCACCAAAAGATCTGCAGAAGAATATTCATATCGGTTTTGTTCATAACAGTCAAAAACTAGAAACCAGCTAAATAAATGATCGCTGACAGCAGGGGTCTAAGGCATATCCGTGGAATGGAATCCTGCATTGCAGTGGGAGAGAGCCATGCTTAGCTGCGAAAGCATGGACAGTCTCAAGGATACAATGCTGAACAAAAGAGGCTATACTCAAAAGAAAAAAATAAAAGACTCCCTATGATTTCATTTATGAAATTCAAATGCCAGGAGTTATGTTTGAAGAGACTGTACTTAAAAGGGCATACATGTATATAGAAATTCATCAAGCCGGAGATTGAGATTTGAGCATTTTACCATATTATGCAAAATAAACCTCAATAAAAAATAATAAACACTGAAGAAAACAAACAAAACTAAGAAAAATGCCTTAGTATCACATCATTTAGATAGTGCTGAACAGAGAAGCCAGATCTAAGACCATGCTTCCCAGAGCTCAGGCTTCTAAATCAACAAACTAGATTTCTGCCAGTTTCAGTGTTTCTTCTCCCTAGGTCTGTTCCAATGTCTCCAAGTTAAAGTCAGAGCAAAGAATGACAGACGCCTGGGGAGTCCTAGAGAAACCCATAGGGGAACATGTCTTTTTTTTAGGTCCAAAGCCCCATTTTGAAAAGCTCCTCCTGACTCTATATTGGTTTTATATTCTCTTTCTTTATATTAACTATTTGTTTTTCTTCTGATCTCTCTCTTTTTTTTTAATTAGGGCATTTTTTTAAAAATATATTTGTCTTTCTTGTCACAGGACAGGCAAGGTGGGAAGTCTGATGGCAGTGTGTCAGCCAAGGGTGAACTTGTAATGCAGGTACCTCAGCGAGCCCCAAGTCCAGTCTCTTGTTCTAAGTATGTCCAAGGCTGCCTGTGGGGAGGACAGGGTTTGGGTTCTAGAGAAATAGATCTCAGCATTTGCTTTCTCATCTGTCAGTTACATAATTACATCACACAGGAGGGACAATTTATTTCCACCTTCTGGAATTATCTTTGACCACCACACTGTTGGCAAATGGTGAAAAGGGAGGTTGGCTGATTCCATTGCTGGTCAAATTAACTTTATCACCTTTTTAGGAACAAGTTATGTAAAACTTATTGAAAATATGCAATGGGTTTTCCAAGACTGTCAAGTTGTTTCTAGAATATGATCTGCCAAAACAAAGTTAATCAGATCCAAAAGTTCTTCTTTAACCTTAAATATATACTTAAGAATGTATACTTAAGAATTTTTTAAAAAGATTTATTGATTTATTTGAGAGAGAGATGGAGACAGAGAGAGTACAAGGAGGGGGAAGGGCAGAGGAAGAGGGAGAGGGACAAACAGACTCTCCACCAAGCAAGGAGCCTGATGCGGGACTCCACTCGAGGCCCAATCCCAGGACCCTGAGATCATGGTCTGAGCCAAAGTCAGACTCTTAACCAACTAAGCCACCCAGGCGTCCTTTAAGAACTCATTTTTTACTTGGGTTCACCAAGTAAAAGTATTAGAAAAGGAAATAGTGGGTCTTGAAATTAGTGTGTCTTAAAAATTAAAACATAAGCAATAATGATGGAGAAACCATAGTAATATGGGATAGCTCTAGACACTTTGAAAGGCAGAAAGTCAGGTGGAGCAGACACACACACACACACACACACACACAAATACACAATGAAGGTATACCAGTTGTTTACAGCTGGCCTCCATCTGGTTATCCTGCATCTGTTTTGATTGAGAGTGCCCATGCTGTACAGATCGTTAAATATTTTGAATATCATCCCCGGAGGTCACACAGACAGTCACCCTGGGCAGATGAGAAAATTCTTAAAAAATCATAAAGAATGCTGCTGTCCATTTCAAACAACATGGTACTGTGTTAGCTCAAATTTTAGCTTGAGATCTGGAAAGGTAGGCATCACACATTGAATACGGAATACAGCTACACCTCCATATCAGTCTGTCCTTCAGCTGGATCCACAAGTGTTTATTAAGTACCCACTTCCTGATCCGGTGTCATGGGATGCTTGGGAGGAGGGTTATACGCACACCTGCCCTGCTCCTGAGGCATTTAGAATCCAGTTGACATTTTGAGACATTTACCTAAGAACACATGAAACAAAACCCACATGAACGGACAACAAAAGGAACCCAGGAGATATTCCATGCTTCAAGTGCAATGGTTTTGGTTGCAGTGATCAAGGAAAGCTTCATAGAGGAAATTGCTCTTGAGTTGGGCCCTGAGAATGAGAAGTTCTTTTTAAGAGGTTGAAAAGAAGGAAGTGGGCTCTTCAGGGCATCAAGGAGGAGAAGAAACCAGTGTGAGCAGGCCCCCAGGGTGGGAAGGCAGGAGACACACTCACTGGAGAGTCAGAGCCAGGCTTGACTGGGACTGCCGCTGAGGGCTTTAGCATTTAAGAGGCAACAGGAGATTGGGGCTGTGCTAAAATGCCATGGATGCCACGTTAAGAGATTTGGATTTTATCCTCTGGGCAACAAGGTGTCATTAAAGGTTTCTGAGCAGAAGTGGCATGACTGATGTCCCAGGAAGGAACTGCATACAGGCCTTACCTGAGGTGGGAAAGGCCCGAGCAGTGTGGGTACCATGGTGACTGCCAGAGATTAAGGGACATTCAAGGAAATAATTGGCAGGATGGGGTCTTCCCTAGATGACTAGCCAACTGATAATAGTATGTTTAAGAGAAGCAGTGAGCCGGGAGAGAGGACCAGTTTTGTGGGGACAGAAGATAGGTCAGGTTCGGGCATGTGAGTTTGCAGTGACGGTGAGATGTCTGGTTAAAAGTATCCATTGGACAGTGAGAAATATGGAATCAGGGCTCAAGAGAAAAACTAGGGCTGGAAATGTGGATTTGGAAGATGCTGGTGGAAGTGATGGTTAACTTCACGAGTGTTATTTGGTTGATGTGTGTGACCAGAAGACCATAACTTCTAAAATTATATTCAGTTGTATCCCTTACGAAGTATAATCTTGTGCTTATAGGGGATGCCTGGCTGGCTCAGTGGGTGGAGCGTGCGACTCTTGATCTCAGGGGTTATGAGTTCAAGCCGCACACTGGGCATCAAGCTTACTTAAAAAAATAAATTAAAAAATATATCTATAATCTTGTGCTTATAGCCACAATATCACACCATTGTTGAATCATTTAAAGCTATGGTGCCATTGCTGCATCTCTGATCCTAGCCTCAGACTCCTGTCAACATTAACACTGCTTAGGTCCACTCAAGTCAAAGACACTTAGCTGCTTAACCCCTCAGAAAATTCAGCCAGTGGACAAAGACCTACCTCCTAGCTCCCTCTCCTCCATGCTGGGAACTGCTTCCCGTCCCCCTTTTCTGGAAGGCATCTTAGCGTCAACTCTCGTCTCATTCATCCTCTTGGCTGAAAAAGAGCTAATTTCTTTTTCTTTTACCTTTGAAGTATAAGATCATCCCTACCCCGGGTACCCACCCCCTGCTGGTCTTGGTGAACCCCAAGAGTGGAGGGAGACAAGGAGAAAGGTATGTTCTATTCTTTTTCAAAATGGAGAGGCTGAGACAAGTTCACTCGGGTTTTTTCTTCCCCTCAACAGGGCGGACTGCAGAGCCAGGCAGACCTGGGTTCCCGTCCCAGCCCTACCCCCGACCACTTTATGACCTGGATCAACCAACTGCTTAACATCCCTGTGCTCTGGTTTCCTCCGCTCCTCTCATAGCTCCGTTGTGAGGATTAAAGTAGACACATGCTTAGCCTCGGGCCCATCACGTGAGCCATTATTATGGCTCCCAAGTTCCGACCAGGTTCTGAGACGCCTGGTTCCTTCCCAGCCTCGCAGGGCCTTTCTTGATTTAAGAGGAATGGCAGGACTCACCTGATTGGGACCTCCTGGGCTGTCCAACTCCTAAGAAATGAGTTCGTTCCTTCCTCAGTGAAGGAAATGCCCAGTCTCCTGGAAGCACTAAGGGAATGGGAGGAGAGAGGGAAAATGGGTGAAGCAGTTCTCTCCCCCCACCCTGTTCAGTTCAGGGTAATGGACAGATGATGCAGTGATCTGGGATCCGGGTTTACAAAAATAATAAGTAGGGTTAAAGTGAGAACTATGAGAACCCCTGCTCCCTAGTCCAGGGGGCAGGGCACCCCTCCTGAACTGACCTGATTAGTCTTAAGCTGGAGCCTTGACACCAAGCCTACAGGTGGTCACTGCCCCTGGCTTCCCCTCCCCAGCCCCACCTCCTGCATTGCCTCCTGATCCCAGAATTTTGGGGGGGGTTTCCATAGAGGGTTCCTTGTTACCTTTGTGTAGTCCACAAAGAGCAGAATTGTACTACCTAGAACATATGGAACATTTGGGAGGAGGACTGAGCTTTAGGAGAATAGAAGTTTTATTCATCCGCAAGGGAGGATAGTCCTGGGGTTGAATGCTACAATCTTAGATGGTGGGGAGGCCCTGAGCCAGGGCGTGAGGGTGTGAATGAAGCCAACTGGACCTGAAACTTCAGGGTCTGCAGGGCCTTGTGCAGTCTTCTCCCCTCTTGGGTTTAAATGGACCCAGATTCCTGCCACCAGTGGGCTCCAGAGGTGTTTGCTCTACTGTGACTTCTCACGATGACATTCTCCCTCTCTGTCTCTCTTTCTCTCCCTCTTTCTTTTTTTTTTTTTTCCATAGAATTCTTCGGAAATTCCACTATCTGCTCAACCCCAAACAAGTTTTCAACCTGGACAATGGGGGGCCTACTCCAGGGTATGGAGAAACGATCGTTACTTATCTCTCCTCCTCCCCCTTTCATCTGAAGAAGATACCTTTCTTTGGCACCCTCCTTGTTTCTTTCATCTATGGACTTATCCTTCCTGCCCTTTTAATCTTTTTGTCTTCATTTCCTCACGTCTACACTTACTTACTCCTGGAACACTCCTTGTGGCTAGCTCTGGAAAGAAGCCCCCTGTGTACCTCACCGGGAAAAAAGTTGGTGTTTTTGTAAAAGAGAAAAAGCACACATGCCAATCACTGGATTGACAGGAAGAGCGGGCTGGTAAATTATGTGAGGCTGTTAGCCGGTGTCTTCACACTGAGTCATCAGGGAGGAGGAAAGAGTTTTCGTAGCGCAGTCAGCAGTTCGGAAATCTATACAGCTGACTCAGAGTTCTGTTGCGTGTGCTGTTGGGGAGCATTTTAGGATCGAGGCAATTGGTTATTCAATGAAATCACTTCTCTCCCCCCCCCCCCAGGATTATCCAATTTAGAGGTTGTTAAGCTGCCCCTGGCCCTTCTCCTGCTGGGTGCCTATTGGCTGTTTCCCTGCCCATTAGAGCGGGAGAGTGAGGAGACAGGCAGCCCCTCTTTGGTCGGACTGCCCATCTGGTGGGAGGGGCTGGGCCCGCTGGGAGCGCTAATGTGATGGCTGCAGGTCCCTGTAATCAGAGGCCGCTTCATCATCGGGGCTGGAAGGCACCCAGACTGGGCTTCTTACCAGACAGGGCTGGTGCGCTAGGGACATCTGCTGGCCAGCCCGAGCCTGTGGGTCTCCAGGCCAGCTTTTCAGATCCGTGCACACTGGGCTGGGCTTCCCAGCACACAGCTGCTTTGCCCAGCCTCCTAACCTGCATTTCTAGGCTCAGTTCAGCAAGACCCTCAGCGGGTGGGGGCGGGGGACAGGGCTGCAGGAGGGACTATAAAAAGGCACCCTGTCCCAGTCTTCCATTGTTTGACACAAAGCTGTTATTTCTATGGCTGTGATGGTGCAAGACCCAGTTAAAAGGAGAAAGAAATGTGAGTTCAAGTCCAGCACCTCTGCCATGACTTACATGTAAAACTGATTTCTAAACAGAGCCCACCTATGCTGCTGTGGGTGTCCTCACTGTCACCGTGATCGTAATTACTGCCCCGTCATGACCTGTGACTGAAAGGCAGCCTGCAAGTACCTTTACCAGCCCCCTCTCTTTCGGGGCATTGTGATACCTGAATACAGTACTCTGGCTTAACCTCATTCATCCTAAATTGTTTCTGTCTTGCATGACAAGCCTGGGGGCTACTTCCAGCACTGCTGTGCCCTGAGTATCTTTGCTGTGTCTGTCTAGGCGAAATGAAAGGGGCCTCCATTCAGAATTCACTTCCTAGAGGAGAGCAGAGTTCTGCAGGAGTCGGGGAGGGGAGGAAATATTGCTTTGCCCACATACGCATCAGTGACTCAGAAAGCCCCAGGGGTCTTCTCAGACCACTAGGCTGGACAGAGGGGAACCCCTGAGCTTCAGCTTCCCATGGATGTTGGCAGGTCACATCTATTCTGAAGCAGAGATTTTTGTCCCTTTTTGTGCCAGAAACCCATTTGGCAGCTTGATGAAGCCAATGGACCTCTTCTCAGAGAATTTTTCTTAATGCGTAAAATGAAATCTATAGGATCACCGGGGAAATGAATTATATTGAAAAGACAGTTATCAAAATATTAAAAACAAAAATACTGGGATATGGGAATATATGTGATTTACTAACACATTTTTGATACGATCCAGAGGCAGGTCTAGTAACTACTATTAATTAAAAACAGTGATGAGCATAAGTGATAGCATGGGGCAGCTACCACAACTGTAATAAAACATAAAAATACCTGAATTTGACTTCTAACAAAGTCATAGGTATTGTCCACACCTGTGATTTGTTGCTGGCTTCCATAATTGGAGAGGCTAAATCTCAGAGTTTAGGGAAGATAAGAATGTAACATTTTCTCCTGCCAGGTTCATGGCCCTCCGATTCTATCTACAGATCCCTTAGAGATTTGTGGGCCCCCAGTTAAGAGCCCTGCTCTGAAGGGGGAAGGCCCCAGAGGGGAAATGGTGCTCCCTCCACTCGGGTCTGGACCCACAGGACAGTGGGATGAAGATCCAGCTAGTTCACTGCATCTGACTTAAAGGAGAGCTTCGGAGGACAGAGCAAGCAGGAGAGCCAGAGAAGAGTCAGTACACTGGGGGTTGGTTGTATTGGTGCCCAAAGAAGCAAACTATGGCCTCCTCTGAACAAATAGTAGCGAATTTCTAGAAAACCATTTTCTGTTTGTGTTGAATGTTGAGTTAGATTCTCCTTCTATAAGCATGGCTCCCCAGGATTCTTCCCTATACTTCAGTGGCACTGAAGTTCTGGTTTCAGAACACTAAGTGACCCTTCCAACCCCAAAAGGAGTCAGGGCTGTAGCATACTCCCAGGGAATAGGGGAGACTCTGACTCAAGTAGTGTCAAATGTCAGCCACAGCCTAGTAAATAAGACCATTTTGGCCTTTTACTTCCCAGACTGAACTTTTTCCGTGATACTCCAGACTTCCGTGTTCTAGCCTGCGGAGGAGATGGGACAGTTGGCTGGATTTTGGATTGCATTGGTAAGAATGGGCTGGGAGGGGCTTTAGAGTTTATTTATAATAAGAATATTGAAAGTCAGAGGAAGGCAATCAACAGGAAAGAGAAACGGAGCCATGTCTTGTTCATCCTTATTTCCACTCTTGGAGCATTGCTTAACTACATATCTACTTTGGGAGGAAAAGAGAAATGGAAGGATTCCCACAGATACAGGTGTAACTGTTTGGTTTCAGGCCTTGCCTCATAAGCATCTGTCACGGCCGGGGTTTGGGCAGCGGCAGCACAGACCAGTTCGGGGAGCTGTGAGGGAGAGAGGGCAGGACTAGGACTCCAGCCAGACCTAAGGTGGTGAGTAAAGGCCAGAGAATTAAGCACAGGTGTGTACATAGCCTGGGGCAAATCACCTTGAGATGAGCACCTGAGCCTGAGTCCAGAAAGCACACCTAGAAAGTGCAGCTCAGTACAAGCAAAGAAAGGTCACACTGTTCTGTGTCCAGTATGCTTAGATCAGAAGGGAAGTAGGGAGGGCCCAGGCTGGGAATCCGGAGGCCTGGGTTTCAGTCCAGCTCTGCCTGGATCTGTGGGTCCTTGGACATCTCATCCCCCGTAAATGATATAGACTAACTCTGGAATTGTGTGTCATTCCTCCCATAAATACTGCATGTACACCTCCATGTGCGAGCTCTCCTGCAGGCACTGGAGATGTAACAGTGAACAAATGCATAGAAATCCCGCCCTCCTGGAGCTTCCTTTCTAGGGGGAGGAGACAGGCAATCAACCAAAAAACAAGGGAAACATACAGCATATTGGAAGGTGATAAAAATACAGCAGGGAAGGGGCAAGGTAGGTAGGGTCAGGGGTGGTCTAAGTCTAAGACCCAAGTGTTTGGGGAAGACCTCACAGAGCAGATGACTTTTGCATGGAGACCTGGAGGAGAGGTGAGCCGTGAGGATACTTGAGGAAAGAGCAGTTCCGGCAGAAGGAACAGCAAATACAAAGGCCCTGAGGTAGGAGCAGGCCAGGCTGCTGAAGGCAGCAAGAGGGCTGCAGAGCGTGCTCGGAGCAGGGTGCGTGAGGGGAGAGTGACAGACAATGAAACAGAGATAGCACAGAGTCAGGTCACTAGGATATGCTGGATAGTAGACAGAATATGGCTTTCGTACAGGAAAGGTCCCAAGACGCTGCATGGTTTGGAGCAGAGGAAGGACACGACAGATCATGAGAAAAGGGCAGCAGCAGGGAGACCGGTCAGGAGGCTCCTGCAGTAATCCGAGTGACAGGTGACCAAGGCTTGGACGACAGGAGACACAGAGGTGGTGGTGAGGAGGAGTCAGCTTCTGGATATTGTTTGAAGGTGGAGGCACCAGGATGCGAGGAAGATAGGCATCAGGGATGGGCATGGGCAGACCCTGACCAGGGCAGGGAAGGCTGCGCCTGTGGGGGTCATAAGCAGCCTACCACGAGGGGTGGGACCACACCCAGCACACCTGCCACCTTCTGCTCCCCACAGGCACTCCGGTTTCCATGGACACAGCCCTGCCAAGCAGCCACCCACGCTCTCCTGTCACCTCCAGCTCGGGAGTTGTTTGTGGGAGGGGGGGAGGCATCCTCTGGGAGCCCAGGGAGGAAAAGCTGATCAGCAGAGGCTGAGTGGCTGCAGGCCTGGGAGCTGCTTGCGTGCTTCCCTCTCCATCACGAAGGAGGATGTCGGCTTTGGTGGTTTTATAAAATTCATCTGCAGAGAACACAGGGGAAAGGGGATGCCCAAAATTGAAAAAATAAAGGTCATATGACAGGTTGGTGGCCTGACGAGAGAAAACAGTGGTGAAAGGAATAACTGCATAATGTTCATTCATTCACTCATTCGTTCAAGAATATTAAAGCACTATTCAGTGCCTTCTGCCACCACATTTTGGTCCCCCCGCTGATCTGTTTATGCTCTACAACCAGAGCGGTCTTTCCTAAATGTCAGTGGGTTTGTGATGTACATAAAACACATCAGTGGCTTCCCATTATTCTTAGGAAAGAGACAAAAGGTCCTGGTGCTCTAGTAGCTGCCCACCCTTCCAGCCCTACTTCGTACCTCGATTCCTCTCCCTCTAAACTCCAGCTACCCAGTCCCTCTCTCAGACCCTTGAATATACCAGTCTCCCTTCTACCACAGGGCCTTTGCCCAAGTGCTTCCTCCGGTCTAGTATGCTCCCTGGCCATTCCTTGGTCAACTTCTACTTCAGCTCTCAGCCCCAAAGTGTGGCTTCCTCAGAGGAGCCTTCCCTGACACCCAGCCTCAGTCACCTTATTATATGATCACACTTCTTCCCTTTCCAGTGTGAATTTGGAATTTTGCATCATTTATTTGAAGACTGTATTAGTATCTGTCTCTCCCTCTCAGTTGTAAGCACCATGAGAGCCTGTGTCATGGCACTTTGACCCACTGTTAGAGCCCCAGTACCTAACACAGCACCTGACACATAGTAGGCCCTCAGTAAATATGTGCAGAGATACTGTGATGACTGAGACATAGTTCCCCCAGGGAGGTTACAGTGCATACCGAGAACAGACGAGTAGTCGATGACAAGAAACACTGGAGGGGCACCTGGCCTAGACTAGGGCAACCAGGGAGGGCCTCCCAGAGGCAGCTTCTAAACAAACAGAGAGCTTGTGACTTTAAGGCACTGAATATACTTGAGCATGGTTGACCCATCGAGCAGGAGGAGGCTAGAGCGGAGGACAGAGCCTGGTGCCGTGCTGGAGATGATGGGCACCATGACAGAGGGAAAGGGACCACCTGCCCTGGAGGGGTGAAGAGCCACTAGGGGAAACTGAGACTGGGGAAGTAAAGAGGCAGCGGCTCAGTACCGGGGCGGGGGGGGGAGGAATCATGTACCTGAGCTCAGGCATCAGCACAGGAATATCGAGAAGAGCTTGCCGAGAGATCTATTACGGAAACAGCGCATGGAAACTGCTGTGTGAATGGATGCCGGGTGAGGGACAGGGACAAACCGAGGATGACATCCAGGTTTCTGGCCTCAACACCAGGAAGATGGTTGACCTTTTGAGATGGGGCCCACGGAAGGAGCAGACATAAGGCAAAGGGAGCAGCAGGTACAAGGGCAGGGAAGCAGAAATGCAGACCACGTGTTCCAGGAACAATGACAGAGCCCATTGCTTTGCTCTGTCCCCCGCCTTAAACCTCCTGGTGGTGAGCTCAGCCCAGGGCCTTGCCTGAGCTCAGTCACTTGTGGCATGAGCCAGACAACCCGGGGGACCTGTGAACTCCCCCTTTTGCGGGGGCAGCCCTAGCATTCGCCCCACTTGCTGATTCCCGTCCCCCCAAGCGCACTCCTCAGTCAGCCTTACCCACATCCCCGCACCGGGCCTGTTGCAGCTTATGTCAGTGGCGCCCCCTGGAGCCCAGTGGGTGCGCGAGCCTGTCCCACCTTCCTCCGTGCCACCAACATGTTGCTGTGGGTCTGCAGCCCCGTGAAACCACGCATGTTTGTGCTTTCTTCAGCGGTTCAGTTTGATGCTTCCTCACAAGCCGCATGGCAGAGCAGCTTGGGAACTGTGGATTTGCGAGTCTGGGAGGTGGGGGAAGTGACGAACTCGTATCTGTGTGCCAGATAACACCTTGAGGTTTTGTTTGTTAGATACAATATTATTTTTAAGCTTTCAGCCTGAATGACATTAGATGAGACAGCGCCAGTTTCCCAAATACCCCACGATTCCCTGATTTCTCAGACCCAGCTGTGGTTACTCTCCGTGCACCTGCATGGCCCCTGAAGCAAGGAGGAGCCTGGACTTGGGACCACAGAGATCTGGGTTTGGATCGTGACTCCAGACTTACTTTCCCCCTCTGAACCTCAATTCCATCATCTATAAGGAGAATAATAATACCCCACAGAGTTGCTGTGAGGGACAAATGGAGAAGGTGTTAATTACGATTACAAACTAATGTTTTCAAGGTGTACGCTGTCACCTCAAAGGAAAGAATTTGGATGAAATGAGGGTAAGCAGGTGCAAGTTACAGGGAGACCGAGTTAGCTCAGTATGAAAGAATCCTTTGTAACGGTTCACACACTGCAGAAGGAAGAGCTTTAGGAAGTAGTGTGCTCTCCATTATGGGAGCTCTGCAAACAAAGATGCCCTGGAGGGGTTTTAAGCGTCAGAGCAGGGATAATTAAATAACCCACAGGTTCCGTAATCTGGTGGCATATGGTTTTCTCTTCTTCTGCATGGATTGCAGATAAGGCCAACTTTGCAAAGCATCCACCGGTGGCTGTCCTGCCTCTTGGAACAGGAAATGACCTGGCCCGCTGTCTCCGCTGGGGAGGAGGTGAGTCTGCGTGCCAGTGGCTCTCCCCCGGGGACAAGCACGCCAATCTCCAGGGATGCTCTGCAGGGCTAGGCTGAACTTCCCTTCTAAGAATTCCATTCCACAGAGTCCTACCTACTCCATGACCATTCCCCTGCTCTCCAAGTTTTGCTGAGACCTGTGCTCACCCCTCAGTCTATTTACTCTGATCCTGAAACTCTCAGCCTAGAGCCTGTCCACCCCAGCAGAACATAGTCAGCTTTAGGGTAGGCTCCTCTATGTCCCCCACGATGCTGACTCTAGTAAGGGCTCACTCAGGTGTTTCCTGAATAAAATTCCCTCCTCTCCAAATTACTGCTCTTCTTCTGAATTAGGACTCAGAATGCAAACTGAAAAGCTATGTTGCCAGCTACTTGGGGCATCCAGATCATCATAGGCCCCCATGGTCATTGGCCCTCATTTTGCTATCCCCCTGTGGGGGATCTCAAAGTGGTGACCAGTTCACAGAACAAGGGACAGGAGCTGAGGAGAACTCTGCAAACTGCAGCCGCCCCCGTGGGGCTGGGAATGCTCCAGAGCGCAGAGGAGGTCGGGACAGCACATGGAAGGGGGCAGAGCAGTCTGGCAGGCAGAACTGGGATGGACTTCCAGATGGCTGATGGATTCAGCGAGGATTCAAGACCAGCTCAGGCAGTGGTCAGTGTTCAGAGCTGGGTGCATGCCTGGTGGCAGGAGCACAGGAAGCAGAAGCCAGCCCCAGAAGGAAGTTGGCAGGAACAGATGTCCTCAGCCCCACCCTGAGGCTAGGGAAGAGCCCTCTGTTCAAGAGGAACAAGCAGAATGTGGTCCCAGGCTGTGTGCATCCAGGCAGCATAGCTAGGCGCAAATTTCATGCAGGAAGCCCAGCCCTATGCTCCCAGAGAGCCTCCAGGTCCTCAGCTACATAGTTGCTACCATTGTTATCTTGTGAGGCGTCCCTAAGGAGCTGACCAAACTAACAACTTGAAAATACTCTTCAGGGTTGCCCTAAAGGTAAGCAGAACGTGGGAGTGTTATCTGAAAGAAAAGACTGTCTCTCCCACTAACCTTTCACAACTTAAAATTCACTTTCTATACTGCTTTTCTATTGCTGCATAACAAATGATCATAAATGTAGAGGCTTAAAACATCCATTTGTTAGCTCACAGTCGTGTCGGTCAGGAGGCCTGGAACAGCATGACTCGGTTCTCTGCTCTGGGCCTCACAGCCTGAAATGAGGGTGTTGGACAGGCTGTGCTCTTCTCTAGAGTCTCCGGAGGGAGAATTTGCTTCAAAGCTCATTCACATTGTTGGCAGAAGTGAGTCCTTTGTGGTTATAGGACCGACGTCCCTGTTTCCTTGCTGGTTATCAGCTGGGACCACTATTAAATCCTTGAGGCTTCCTTTTTCCCTGACAAATGGATCCCTCCATCTTCAAAGCCAGCCACGGAGAATCTCCCTCACCTGAAATCCCTCTCAATGAGAGCTTTGAATCAGTTTCTTAAGGAAAAGCCCAGTCCTTTCTAAGGACTCAGCCAATTAGGTCAAATCCACTCAGATAATCTCCCTTGCTTAAAGTCAACTGTGCCATATCGTATAGCTAATCATGACGGGGACTATCCTATCTTATTTGTAAGTCCTGGGATTTGCAGGGTATATACCCTTGGGGGTGGGCAGGGATAGGGGAGACCATCCTAAAATTCTTCCTACCACACTGTCCATCTCCGACATGACCCAGTCCTGGAACAGATCCTTTGTTCTCCCGTGTGCAGCTTCCCAGCCCCCCAGCCCACCAATTCTCTAGGGCTTGCTGTGGCTACATAAGCCTGCCCACCTTTGCCCAGCCCGCACCCCTTTGCCTTCCAAATCTCCCCAGCTGCTTTGCCTTCCAAATCTCCCCAGCTTCTTTCTTACTACACCCTGTTGTCCTCTCCTCCTCCATGGCTCAGGGAACCTAAGTGTCTCTGGCCCCCAGACACACTGGGGAGTCTCCTGGTCACAGATGCCCACAGAGTTCCCTGCCTTGATAGCTGCCTGTACATCAGCAACAAGTTAGCCTTTCTGCCCTGGGGTCACATATAATGCCGTGCTCCACAGGTTATGAAGGGGGCAGCTTGACAAAAATCCTGAAGGACATCGAGCAGAGCCCCTTGGTGATGCTAGACCGCTGGCATCTGGAAGTCATCCCCAGAGAGGAGGTGGAGAATGGGGACCAGGTCCCATACAACATCATGAACAACTATTTCTCCATCGGTGTGGTGAGTTGGTCAAGGATTGCCTTTCTCATGGAAGAGAAACGTCTGGGTGGGCAGAAAGGTTCTGGTCCCCCATCATCCCTCTCTGGGTCCCTACTCTTCACCTCTCCCAGCTACCCCAGTCTTGACTTGGGTCCAAGCATCCTTGCCTGTGGCCTGGGTATGGCCACCCTGAATGTACCAAACCCCGACCCTAGATGATGGAGGAAATTCCTTCCCCTATAATTGTAACTAACACAAGAAAATAAGAACCTTTTTTTAAAAAAGAGATTTACCCTTTGGATAATTTGAAACAGTTTAAAAGAAGTAACAGCAAGAAATAACCAAGGGGCGGAGTCAGAAGACTCTCATGAGAGCTTCCAGAGTTGAGAATTCTGATCCTCCAAGGAGAACCATGTGGTCCCAAGTTGGCTTAGCTAACTTAGCTGTCAGAATTCCTTCTCTCCTGTTCTCTCCCCTCATCTCAACTGTATTCCCTATACTCCAGGTGTTCATAAATCTCTGGGGGCGTCTCCTCCCAGCTGACCCCTCCCTCAGGTGAGCTCCATGCTCCTCCTTGGTGCTTCCACAGCCTTCTGTGTTCACCCTGTCAGTGTACCCTCTGCATTCGAGTGAAGGGATTGGTTTACTGTGCTCACTTCACACACTTCCATTGCGCACACACACACACACCCAACACACACCTCTAACACATACCCCCTACATACACACACACACCCCCCCAGAGCACAAGGACAGCACCACATTCCTTTCTTCCTCCAGCTCCCAGCACATCTAGCACAACTCAGTTAGTTTTACTGAACTCAGCTTCTGGTCCAGAGAGGATAGAGGTGGACCCTGCTTCCTAAACTGTTGAGGATGGAATCAGGGAGAAAAGAGATCCATCCATTCCACAGATAGAGCTGGGGTTCTACAACAAAGATACTAGCACTTACTGAGCACCTACTGTGTGCTCACCACTATGCTAGGCCTTATGTATTACAATCCTCATCGCAGTCTTGCATGTATCACTGTCCCCACAGTCCCCATTTTGCAGATGGGGCCTGGGGCCTTTCAGTTCCCGACTAGTTCCTTGACTAGTGAGGGCCAGGAACTGACACAGGCATGCTGTGCCTCACAGGCTTTCCTGGTACCCTGCCTTTGGAATTATGCCGCCCAGTTTCAGATGCATAGAAATCCCTCTAAACCAACCATCCAGGTCCGGATTGTGGGATAGCTGCTCTTGTCAACCATCCTCATCTGTGCCTCTTTTGAAAACTTTGGTGGCTTAAAAAGAAAAAGGAAACAGAAGGGGAAATGATCGATGGCTTAAGGGAAGAGCAGGTTTAAGGAAAGGGTTTTTAATAAGACTAGAAGGGCACCTGGGTGGCTCAGTTGGTTGAGCATCCGACTCTGGGTTTCAGCTCAGGTCATGATCTCAGGGTCGTGAGATCAAGCCCCACGTCAGCTCCGCACTGAGCGTGGAGTCTGCTTGGGATTCTTTCCCTCTTCCTCCTCCTCTGCCCTTCCCCACTGTGCATGTTCTCTCATTCTCTCTCTCAAATAAATAAAATAAATAAATAAATACAATCTTTAATAAGAAGACTAGAAGAAGAACCACGGAAGAGGAAAGGATGTTTTAAAATACCGTATATTTACAGAATTTAAAATTTACCATATTAATAGGTATTTTCTTGATTCTTATGACTACATTGAAGGGCAGTATTTTCTCCATTTTGTAGATAAGGAAACAAAGAGTCAGATGAAGGGACTTGCTATCATTTTCTGGCTCCTAAGCCAGCACTGTTTTTCTATTACTACAACAGAAGACAGAGGCATTGCTGGACCGCAGTCAGGGTCTGAGTGGACGGCGGATTGGACTGGCGGCATATTCAGGGTCCCTGTGCCCCGATTTGGTTTATCTCCCCAGCTCACCTGGCCTCAGGGGAGACGCCTCTCCCTAGGTCTCTTCAAGCTGCCCCCTCCAGTGACCTAAGCAGACCCCTCCTTCCTCTTCTTGTTGGCTCAAAAGCCCCTCTCCCTTTTGGACCCCCCTCAGGCCCTGCTTCCCCCAACAGGAACACACAGCCCTCAGCTACTGCCAATGGGACATGACCAACAGGTCTGGTGTTCAGGAGGCTTCTAGAGCATGGGCTTCCCATCATGGCAATTTCACAAAAACCTGTGTCCTTTTCTTAGAGTAACCAGAGTATAGCTTGCTAACATGTATTGAGTTCCTGCTGCACATGAGGCCCAGGTGGCCTATTGGTAGGTATAGTCATTATCCTTTTGTATTTTGTAAGAAGGAACTCTAGCTTAGAACAATACAGAGACAGGTCTCAGCTGGTGAGTGGTGGAGCTGAGAACCACTAGTGCTGAGCTCCAGAGCCCCCTGAGCTGTGGACCAGGAGCCATACAGCCTCTGCACAGCCCCTGCACAGCCCCCTCCGTCCTCAAATGCTTTCCTTCACTGGGGGAGGAGGGCGGCAGGAAGTCTTTTCTTCAGTGGGGGGGGAGGGCGGCAGGAAGTCTCAATATTTAGTGTGTGACGGCTCACTGGTGCCCTTTGTCAGAGATGCAAATTCCACCCCCATGATAGATCCTGGTTTGTATTCTGATTTGGTTGGTCTGGGCAAGGTCTGGAAGTTTGTATTTTTAACAGGCCTCTGAGATAATTCTGATGTAGATGGTCCCAACCAAGTCTTCAGTGATGGAGACAGCCCATCAGAACAGAGAAGAATGGTCCAAGAAGTGTTCCTACACAGGAGCAGAAACCAGAACTGAACTGGATGAAGGAGAAAAATGATAGCGAGGAGGGGACACAGGCCCTGCAAGTAGGCAGACAGAAGGGAGAGCGGAGAGCGGAGTAGCAGGGCTGCTTGCCCTGCCTGGGAATTTCTAGATGGCAGCTTACAGCCGTGGCTGCCTTTAGAGTCTTTAGCCCCACATCTTCTCTTTCTTGACACACTCAGCTCTGGCTGCCAAAACATGATTTTTTTTTTATAAGATTTTATTTATTTATTTGAGAGAGAGAGAGCACAAGTAGGCAGAGTGGCAGGCAGAGGGAGAGGGAGAAGCAGGCTCTCCGTTGAGCAGGGATTCGGACATGGGGCTTGATCCCAGGAACCTGGGATCATGACCTGAGCTGAAGGCAGCCGCTTAACCGACTGAGCCACCCAGGTGCCCCCAAAACATGATTTTTGATACCTCCTGTCTGTTTCTACATAGTGCCATATGCAAAAAATTTCACTCACTCAGTATTTCCTGACCATGCATAAACACACCAAAAAGGAATAAACAGCCTCACCTTACCTAGATAACCTCATCCTAATCCCAAGAGCCATGATGATCATGGTTTTAATTCATTTTTGCAAATAAGTAGGAAGGAAGGAAGTTGGGGGACAGGAGGAAGGAAAGGAGACCACCTAATTGTCCCCCAAGGAAATGCATACAAACAGATTCTCCATCACACTCAGTGGTCAGGGTATTTATTTGCCTGGGGCTGACTTATAATAATCCAATCTGTTCGTCTTTCAAGTTATAAAGAACTTCACAATATCTTTCTCAACAATTATTTTTTTCATACGCCTTTCGCTTGTGCATGTTTAATATTTTATTGCGAAGCAGTGAGGAACCAGGACGGTTTTTATCTCCTTGGTGTACCCTTAGGCTTCTCTCAATAAAATGTTTGCAGGGTTTGTATGCTCGCTCTTTAAAAGTTGGAAAGGGAAATTCTTGAGAAAACAAGTAGCCAACACGCAACTCTAACAGAATCTGGGGCTGACATTTGCAGAAGCTCTTCCTCCCTATTTGACTTCCCAAAGTTTGTAAGAGAAGACGTCGGTATGTAAACCAACCCCGCAATTTTACTTCCTTGTGATAATTAGAGTCAGACTCCTTTGGCAAAGAGAGCCATGCAAAGTCTTTGCCCCTTTCGAAGGACCTGGAATATCTGAGTGATGTCCGGAGTCTGCTCCCTTGTGTATAAAAGGGAGGACTGCTGCTGTGGTGGCCGCAGGTGGTAGAGCATTTGCCCTGACAAGTTCACTGGGGCCCCGGGTGCCAGCAGAATCCATGTCATGCGTGGAGGGATAAACAGGGCAGACCCTCCTGGCCCACCCGGAGAGCAACTGTGGCCCCATCGTCACCACATTTCCAGCACCTACATATGTGCCGGCCCTCCACCAGTGACGAGTTGACAGAGTCAGCCTTCTCCATCCCCCCAACTGACAACACCCCTTGGCAGGAGATTTTCAACATTATCATTCAGGCTCCTACTTCCTCTGGCTTCTCTGGCCTCCTCGTCCCTGCTCTTTATTTTTGGATTTGCAGAAATGTCAGGATGGCCAGGTATCAGTGACAGGAAGTTTGGGCCCATGAAAATAATTGCTGGGGTATGTGTAACTCCAAATGCCTCAAAGGCTCTGCTTTCACTGAGCCTCCACAGGAGGAGTGAACAGCTAATCCCTTGATTCAATGAAATCTATTTCTGATGCTAGGGGAGCCCAGGGGCCAAGGAGAGGCTGCAGTCACCACACTAACCCGCACACCATTCTCTCCCTTACAGATTGTACTTCTCAGGCTTCACCAGCTAAGTTTCCACAATGATGAGTCCCCTACCCATTAGGGAATTTATCAAAAAGTAATCATTTTCCCTGCAACTTTTCTGGATTCCCTCAGTGTCAGGTTCTTGTCTGTCACCTGTGAGAGCCCTTGGAGGTCCTAAGACAGTGGGACTCACTGAGAGGTGTCTGGGACAAAGGGTCTATGCTCTTTTTCATCCTCCGATCTGCCATAATTTTTCAGAACTATTCAAATTCCAAACGATCTGTTTTATTGTCTCCTTTGTCCTTTTTACCTCCATAAGTTGCCCAAGTGACTTGGACCTGTGTTGTCCAATACGGTGGCCGTTAGCTGCATATAGCAATTGTATCCTTGCAATGGGGCTAGTCTAAATTGAGAGACGCTGTAAGTGTAAAATACACACCAAATTTCAAAAATGTAGTATAAAAGAATTTTAAACATCTCAGTAATTTCTATACTGACTACATGTTGCAGTGATAATATTTGTCAATGAAAATATATTATCAAAGTTAATTTCACCTTTTTCTTCTCACTTATTAATGTGGCTACTAGAAAATTTAAATTTATTTCTATCAGCACTGGCCTAGACATCCAAATATCTCAGAGTCCAAATGACGGCAGCTTATATTTGGAAGGGACACAAAAATCTTTTGGACTTCCAGTTTTAGCTCAGGAAAGAGCAGCCCATCATCTCCTCTGTTCCTCACACCTCACAGAAGGGACACCGGAGAGTGACCTTCAGAAATGCCATCACTTCCAAGGCTTTGCAATTCCCATCTCCATCCACCTGCCCCTTCAAAAATGGAAGTCTTATTTTGCTGTAATTATTACCAAGAAAGGGTTTGAACCATTGTAGCACTGGTTCCCAGAATTTAAAGAAATCACTATTGAATATAAACACACCCAGCTCAGTGCCTGCCACAGAGCTCAACAGAGGGTGAAGGTGAATCTCCGCTCTTTTAAATCCCCACGTAGAGAAATGTGGTCAGAGTCAGAGTCTTTATCATCATGTCCTTTTCAAGACTCAACAGCAAAGGAACTGCTCGGCTCTCCCTTGCTACTTTGTGTGTTTGTCGGGAGATTACATTGGAACCCCGTGCTTAACTAACAATATTGTAAAGGCTGGTCTTTGTGAAAAGAAGCTTTGCAAAACCTAGTTTAAAAATACAACAACAGGGCACTGGGTGGCTCAGTTGGTTAAGCGACTGCCTTCAGCTCAGGTCATGATCTCGGAGTCCTGGGATCGAGTCCCACATCGGGCTCCCCCTTCTCTGTGGGGAGACTGCTTCTCCCTCTGTCTCTGCCTGTCACTCCCCCTGCTTGTGCTCATTCTCTCTTTCTCTCTGTCAAATAAATAAATAAAATCTTAAAAAAAAAAAACAGGGCGCCTGGGTGGCTCAGTCGGTGTCTGCCTTTGGCTCAGGTCATGATCCCAGGGAGCCTGCTTCTCCCTCTGCCTGCCGCTCCCCCTGCTTGTGCTCTTTCTCTGTCAAATAAATAAATAAGATCTTTAAAAACAAAAACAACAACAAGGATAAGAACTGTGCAGAGGGAGGGAGCCTGTGCACATATCCCTGAGAATAAAAAAACCAGGAGCCAGTCATAATAGTCCTAGGGGTATGGGGAGGGTCGCAAAGCACAAATCATGCCAGGCAACGTGTGATGGCTTTTTTCTTTCCTCCTCTTTCTTTCTTTTCTCTGACAGAAGAAAATTAGTGCTTCAAAGGAACACAAGTTGATGGAATGTTTTCTTGAATTCTAGAGAAGCATTTGACAGATTTCACATGAATCTTTATTCAGAGTGTTCACTGAAACTTGTTCAGAGCCAGGGAGGGAGAACGAAGGCCTGCTGTCTGGGGAGGTCACCCGGGGCCAGAGGCTTGGGGGGCCCTGCACATCTCCCACCATGTGTCCACAGGGGGGCCTAACCAAGACCTTCAACTCTCCATGTGTCTTAAAGGAAAAACAAAACAATCAGTAACTAGAGTTTAAATGTTAAATTCCCAGGCACCTGGGTGGCTCAGTCAGTTAAGCGTCTGCCTTCAACTAGGGTCATGATCCCGGGGTCCTGGGATCAAGCCCCACATTGGGCTCGCTGCTGAGCAGGGAGTCTGCTTTTTCCTCTACCCCTTCTCCCTGCTTGTGAGATCTCTCCCTCTAACTCAAATAAATAAAATATTTTTCTAAAAAAAGAAAAATAAATGTTAAATTCCCAAAACATTATTTCAGCAGGTAGTGTTGGCCAACCACACACCAAAAAAACCCATAGCCTCGACTTGCCTCTGTAGTGGATTGCTCACTGGGTTTACTCTGCCAAATACAAGTATGACAGAAGCCCCTCTTGACCCCCTAATTTGCTTCCAGACTTTCTGTCTCCCACCATTATCCTATATTTTACTCACCACACATAGCCCATGCTCCAAAAAAGGTTCTCCACTGAACGATACCTCCTGATGTTAAAAAATAATTATGTTCAGAAATTTTCTTTTGTGAGTCCATACCAAGAAACGGAATTAATATGCATTGGCTTAAATGGAATTTCAGTGCTCTCTTAGCCATATAGTGTAGTAAACGAGTTTCTGTAGCTTTTTTCCTGCACGTATCTGAGTCAGCTCCCTTGTTTCTGTGTCACTCCCCACCCCCCAACCCATAGCTCAATTCTCCTGTTTCTTTATAAAGTCCACCCCTGCACCTAATGTGTTGGCATGAGGCCTGAGCGGTGAAGGGGTTCAACACATTCTTCTGCTGGAAAATGAGACCATTAATGAGGAGGAAAGACCAAGTGTGAGGAGGAAAGATGAGCTTGGTTTTAGGTCTGAAGCTCGGGGTTGGTTCTACAGATACACATTGTGGAGACATCAGAGATGCTAGTAATAAGTGTGAGAACTCGAGATGGTCCATGACATGGAGTGTAGGCTACAGATAGGACTCAAGGCTGAGAAGTTCTGGTCAGAGAATGGAGAGCCCAGAAACATGGTGTCATGGGAGCCTTCCTAATAGTTCTGAGGAGTAGGTGGCCAATAGCGCAGCAAAGGGGTGTGCAAATAGGAAAGCAAAGTGTCCATAGACGGTGGTAGTGCGACTCTTCTTGACCTTGGGGAAGGACCTTTCTGTGGAGATCAAGTAAAAGAAGCCAGAAGTTTAAATATATTTTTATTATCTACTAAGCATGTTATTCAATGCTACTAATTATTTCTACTGATGTGAATGATTAGAATTAATATATCACAGCATCCACCAAAGTCAGTTTTCTGGGTTTGACAATGTACCATAGTTACATAAGATGTTATTGGGGGAAGCTGGGTGAAAGGGATACAGGAACTCTCTGTACTATTTTTGCAACTTCTTGTGAGTCTTAAAATATTCCAAAATAAAAAGTATTTTTTAAAAAGAGTTAATATGGCAAGGCATTTCCAGAAATTCACACTCAGCCCCACGCGCACACGGGCTTCTGCACTGTAACTGCCCCCACACCCAGATACCCTCTCTCCCCTCAAAGGGCAGCGGCTGTCCCCTTCATTCACCCTAAACTGTGGCCGAGAATGAAACCTGCAGGGAGTCGACCGGCATAGGTTCTACAGGCACTGGTGGCTAGCTCCTAACCTTGGACCTGGTGTTCACCCTTTGCGGGAGCCTCCTGTTCTCCCCTATGACATGGACTCTCCAGGGTTGGGGGCTTTCAGTGAGAGCCTGTGTGCTTCCTTTCTTTCCGCATGGCACGGTCATGACCACTAACCAGGCGTCTGCTTCCCTCTCTTTCCCTTTCAGGATGCTTCCATCGCACACAGATTCCACGTGATGAGAGAGAAACACCCTGAAAAATTCAACAGCAGGTAAGAGTGCCCTGAGGCTGCAGCCCCCGCCGCACGGCCCGCCGGCCCCGCCCCTCCCCCACGCAGCCGGGCCAGACCGAGGCCTCCACCTGCTCTCGCCCAAACGTTCTGGCCCGGCAGCCCAGGGACGTGGCTTTCCTGCCACGTTGCCGGAAGGACGGTTTCCATTTCCAAGCAGAAAACGGTGTCAGAAACCTGCCGCAGCCTGGCCGCCTGTCCCCTCCCAGAGGATGCCGTGCAGAGGGAAGGATTGCGGGGCTGGCAGGGAGGGCGTGGTATGCCCGCCTTGAGGGGTGGGGATCTGCTCTTGGCTAACTGGAACCCGCCTCCCGGGGCTTGGCCGCTTTCTCTAGACGGAAAGCTCCCGCAGCCCTAGCCCACCCCGGAATTTCTGTGGGGAGGGCCAGGCAGGATGGCCGGGGCGGGGTGTTGGAGAGGGGGCCTCGGATTCTCTCTGTCTCGAAGGGAGGGAGCGGCAGCGGCGGGGCCGGGGCTAGGAGGGCAGAGAGGGCGTCGCCTCCGCATCCCCCGACAGCAGAGGGCAGCAGAGAGAGGCCCCTGCAGGGGCTGTGAGACCGGGAACCCACCAGGTCCCAGCCTCAGCCCTTGTGTGAAGCCTGAATGTTAGATCCAAAATTACAAGGAGAGAGAAAACCAGATCTTTTGCAAACAAAACTAAGCCCTTCTTGCTGGTGGGAGGGAATATGCGAGAAGTGAGATGTGACTGGCATATAGCTACCCCTGGGATTGCTAAAATACCTTTCTCCATTCTTTCTTTTTTTCTTCTCGTTGATTGATTTCCATCCGTTTTCCTCTTTTGTTGTGCCCTTTCAAGATGACCATTGGCTCCCACCCCACCCTCCAGCAGGTGGGGAGGAGGAATGCAGACTGAGCGGGAAGGGAGTGACTTACGTAGCCCATAGGATTGAGCAGAGGTTGTCCGAAGACATTTGTTTAAAGATTCACACCCCAAAGAGCACCATCATTTTCATTGCTGCTCCTTTCCCCTGACCCCACTGCCTGGGAGGTTAACCCGGGAAAAAGAAAGTCTTATCATAACATACTTCAGCTTCAGGAAAAGTGATCTATGGGATCTACTAGCTGAACTAATCTTCTTAGCGTGGGCCTTCTGTCCCAAGCCTATTCCATCTGGCTCTCTCACCCAGCCTACGCATACTTACAAATCACTATTAACAGGTATGCATTTAACCCCCACCCTTACTGTAATCAGCTGACCCTCCTTGTACATTCCTTGTCACTCTCACATACACGCTAAATTATTCCTTCTCTTCCACCTGTTGTAGACGTCTTAGGTACTCTTTTCACAGAGGTGGCCTTATGCATACTCATGCACACATACTTGTTAAAATGCCATATGCTTATGAGATCCATAGGGGTTCTGCTCATTCATTCATTCCACACTAGCTTTAGAAAATAGACTCCGTGCCAGGCACTGTTCTGTAGGTGTTTTGAACAGACGTGTAGGGGCTCACTGTCCAGTGGTGCAGACCTGAGGGCAGATATGCAGAGTGACTTGTGTGCAGTGGTATGAAACGAGCTAACCTATGGAACACAAAGCAAGGACATGGAATTTGGCGTGGAGGGGCTTCTACCCATGGAGATGCCAAGACGTGGGAAACAAGTGTGTATTTTCCAGGTTGGCAAAAAGAGAAGCGTAGCCCAGGGAGAAGGAAGCAAATGTACAGAAGGATAATAACAAGGAGTGAGAGAAGGCAGGATGCCTGGGGAAGAGCAAAGGAAGAAGCAAAACCCCTGTAGTTTGTAGTGAGTGAGGAAGCAGAGGGAGGCAGAAATTTCTCCATATTCCATAAATCAGTAGGTCAACACAGGACATAAATAGAGTAGTTGTCAATTGCCCACATGATTAAATACAATTAGAAAGATACCTCTGTCAGAAAAAAAGTTGTCATTGTGCATTTCACTGTGATCTTGTGACTGTTTTTCCTTCCCATTTCCCCATCCTATTAATAAGACTATTCTGCAGTTAGCTGCACACCCTTCCCCTGGTCGAGGTCAAGGTAGTGTGGTTGCCCAGGACGAGAGGCACACAGATTTGCGTGTAAATCCACATGCCTGCAAATAAGTGGAGACCTGGTGGCACAGAGGTGGGCCCTGTTGCATAAGGTCCTAGCAGCCTTCCTAGTAAGAACTTTGAGTCCCTGCTGCTTCTACCCCGCCTGCTTGCTCATGTGGAAAATACTCATGAGTGCCCACTTTGTCCGCTGAGAGGCAGGCGAGCAGCCATTTTCTCCAGGCTTCCTTATTTAGCTTTGGAGATGGTTTTAAATAGGCAGGTGGTTGTTGCCATGGTTACCCATTACACCAGCGGCTAAACTTAGGAAGGGCCACAAGGGATAGGAAGAAAGCTTGATACCCGGGATTTGGAAATGTAAACGATATTATCAAACAAGCCTTCGTTTTATTCTGCTGAACTGAGGTTTTCCAGAGAGTAGTCAGGGCTTGGCTAGATGTCCTTACGGTGAAGTTGCCGGGCTGGGCATTTGGGGACAACCCCGAGGTTAAATCTAGGAAGTTGTAACTGTTTGTTTTGTTTTGTTTTGAACATGGGCTAGAATTTATCAGGGAACTTGAATCTTTCACATGGCTCATTCAGTTTTCTGGGCTATTCTAAGAGGAATTCTTAACCTGAGGTACAAAGGCTGCAGGAGTTCTGAGAATACCTTGAAATTGTATAGAGGACACTGAATATAGTTTTCTGGAGAGAAAGTCCATAACTATCAGAAGGCTCTCACAGGGACCCATAGCCCTCTAATGGTTAAAAGTCACAATTCTGAGGCCTCCTTAAATCCTAAAAGGGGTTTGGGGTTTGGTTGGGGTTTTAGGAAATTCTTCCTCTGGTGGCTTCTTTACACAGGTTGTTGCCAGAGAAGGTGGTTGGTTGTCCAAAACTAAGTTATGTTCCCTAGTGGAATAGCTTTGTTAATGGAGCAAGAACCAGACCCAAGAAAGCAGGAACATGAGCCAAGTGCGATGGGCAAGGATAAAAAGGCCTTTAATGGCAGAGATGGGGCTATTTTTGGTACATTCTGCTTCCTAATCATTGACAGGCTAATAATTAATTGCTAATTTAGAAATATTATGAAAAAGTATCATCTTGTTGTTGGCAAAAACAACAGAAGACAGATTTAATTCGACTAAGATTCTAACATGTTAGTTAGAAGGTGTTCTAGGCTACGAGGATAAATAAAACCTGATTCCTGCCTTCAGGGAATTCATAGTCTAGCAAAGAAGGAAGAGTAATCTTCAAATATCTTTTACAAAGTGATTTTCACATACATGGAGGTTCCATTTTGTAGGTCATACAGCATAAAGGAAGTTGGATAGAGTAAGACACTTATTAGTGGTTGTATGCCTACATCATTTGTAAATGAATTGTTTGGAGTGCAGAAATGGTGTTATAAGGGAACCAAAGTAAGAACTGTTATTTTTTGAGCTCCTACTAGGTGCCAGCTGATAAACTAGATTCTTCAAATACATTATATTATTGAAATCCCAACATCACCTTACAAGGTAAATATTAGATAAAGGCATTTTATAGATAAAGACACTGAGGCTGGGAGAAGCTAAGTCACGTAACTGAAGTCAGACATCTTTTTAAGCACCGGAGCTGGTGTGATTCTAAGCTAGCTCCTAACTCCTCCAGAGTTCAAACTCTTGTTTTCTGCACTTGCTGTCTCCGGTGGATTTCATTCATCAAATACCTATTGTATATCAAACACGCTGATGCGTACTACATACATGGTCCCACTCAATGTCCATAATAACATGCAAGGGTAAGTGCTACTGTCTCCATTGTAGAGATGAAAATATTGAGGCAAAGGAGGGTAGAGCTTTTATCATCTCTATCCATCTTTATGGATTGTCTCTGTGGGAAGATGCCTCCTGAGTTCCAAAAGGGGACCACAGGCACACCACCCACTCTTAAGTTGTGTGGTGTGACTGTTCTCCCTATCTCAGTGTCCATAGCACAGAGCAGGACCAAATACATGATTAGTGCAGCCCACTGAAATGTCAAAATGCAGGGCCCCTTGTACAAAATTATTAAGAATTTCAAGTCCATGGGAGTAGAGCATTCATTAAGCCAAGTACAGAGCCCTTCTGAGTGTCGGGCTCCTTGCATCTATGCACATTTCTCTTCCATAAGCTGGCCCTGGCAAGCAGAGAGGAATTTATTTTTTTAAAAAAACCTCATACGTGCCAGGGCTCACAGAGGGGGGAGGTTTGCAATAAAGGTAAAGGAATGGAGGAAAGAGGGCTTCAGCTAGGGAGGAGGGAAGGGATCGTCAGTCCCTCAAACAGGCGGTAGTCAGTATTAGCAGATGAGCTGATGACACCACTGAAGTCTTGCAGATATCTAAGAACCAATCCTCCATGGAGTTTCTGGATTAACTCTCCATGAAGGATTTTTTTATATATGGAATATATACACAAAAGCTACCAAATTCCAGTGTCACTGTGGTTGAGTGTCCAGAAAGAGGAGTCTAACTATGGAATTTTTTCGTTGTTGCTCAGAAACTCAGAGCACTTGAGGAATGTGTTACTCCAAACCTGTTGAGTGCCATCCACTTGAATATGTCCCTCAGCAGTTCAGGCTGAAGCAAGATATATCCTGTTAGGCACTTCAAAGGGACCGAAACAGTGCTTCATTCCTACCAAAAGCTGACCACCTTTCCCAAAAGCCCTTGGGTAATTAATAGACTCTGGAGTGTTAGCTTTCTTGGAACCAAGCCCATGGAGTAATTGATGAGGGGTTCCCCCAGAAGCCCTAATGTAGCCCGAGACCATAAGAGGTTGGAAATACATCTTGCAAATAACTAAGCACTTAACAGATATTAATAGAATGAAGCAGCAGGGAAAAGTCTAAGTTGGCATCAAAAGTTGGCTCTGCGACTTACTAGCTGTGTGACCTTGGGCAAGTTACTTAATCTCTTTAATCCTTTGCTTCCTCCCCTGAAAAT